ACCCGGCACGGCTCGGGCTAGGGTACACCACAAGAGCACGAGAAGAGGACAAGGGAGTCACGAGGAGCGGGGCAGGATTACCAGCCTGCCCCGGCAGCGGCGCGGGATTACCAGCCCGCGCCGACGAAACGACATGCGGCGCGAACGGAGCAGCGCTCGGAGGCAGGGATACACCGCTCCCCTCGACTGGGTAGGCGGCGCCCGGTAGTAGTTCGACTTGTAGCGGCACGACACCCTGGGCAGCTGCGGTATGTTGCGACACCGCCACAGGGGCCACTAGAGTTCCAGCGACCAGAGCAATTCCCGGCGATGGGGCGCGCACGAGAGGAGGGACAGAGGACGGGGGAGGCCGAGCATGCGCCAAGCCAGACGCTCCCGCAGAGTTAAGACTCGGACCAGCTGTGGCACCCGAAGGTTTCACAGCCGGATCCTCAGTGTCACCCTCGCGGCACCCACGCTCACCAGTTGAAGATGACGTCATCCGGAGACAACTGTCAGTGAATTAACTTTGATCGTTACCCCACGCTTCGCCAGCCAGCCAGCTACACTTGATCTTAGCCAAAAGGCCGAGAAGGTATGATTGGACTAAATCTGATTTCACCCTCCCTACGAAAAAACCACTCCGTGGTTTTTTCGAGACGGATGGTGCAGATCCCTTGCTGTAAAGGGGCAGCGTGCTTGAATTTTAGGTACGATTTCAGCTGTTTTCAAGTGTCTTTTTTAGATGCGGCCCGTTCTAGTGCGCCAAAATTGCGATAAAGTGCGTAAAAAATCGTACTTTATCGTACTTTTTTTATTCGAATGCTGATCCGCGCCGCGTTATCTTCACCTTCCATACACAAAACAAGATACAAATTTTAGAAAATATTACCAGCTGGCGCGTGGTTTTCACCGTGTGGTAGATGTGAAAAATTCATTTTTCACAGGAAAGTCCTTCTCGGCCTATTCTACAAAAGCAGTACATACTCGGCCATGACAATTGGAGGAGACAACTACGGAACAGTGCCTTGACAACCAATCAAGGTTGCGCACGACCACCCGTATCCGGAGACAAAGGAGGGTCTTCTGAGGATTCCGAGGAAAACTCCGGTACCGGGTACACCCATGGAGTACACCGATGATGACGAGCTCATCTGCATGCTGCAACCCCATGTCTTAGCCAAAAGGCCGTGTGTGCACTGGTGTGTGCAAGCGGATAAATACAAGAAGCGCGCTTTGAATGGCCGTTGCGTATTATCGACGAAATTTGTAGGCGTTTGGCATTGGGCGTTTGGTTTGTTTCTGACCTACGAAGAAACCGGTTCTCAAAGCATCCCACCGGTTGTAGTTGATTAATAGCACTGATCGAGCTCAAAGCGTGCAAGTTTAACACACTTTTGGCTCGTAGACCTTTGATCCATGATGACATGCAAGGCCAAAGTCACCCCTTCGTCGTCCCGGTACTTGCCGGTGGACAGCAATTGCATTTATTTTTCAGTTCTTTCATGGCTTCTTGAGCTGGCCACTCGGCGATGTACATGTACCAACTAGTACTACATAACACGTCGATGATACTACTGCGCTCTCATCCCTCGCCTTACTTGACGATGGATGCGAATAAGCAGTGTTTCCAGCAGCACTGACCATGCCAGCAACGCTTCATAACCGTTCGAGTTCCGTCCCTCTACGCTTTGCCAAAAGGCCAAAATTGTTCCATCTTGAAATACTGTCCAACAACATAATTGCGAACGGTCTTGCAGTCCGCCATGCAGTCCGCCATGAGGCGCCGACGCAAGCGCTTGGATCTGCCAACGAACTCGGCGGGCTTCGGTCGCAGTATGCCCCAGCCCATGGCATGCCATGAATGTAGTGGTAAGGGAGCCCTTTTCATGCAGTTCACGCATTATAGTCGTTAGAATCATCAATAGTGCAGCGAACCCTATTAATGCATACGAGTAGCGTTCGCGATAAAGACGATAGCGCAACGTTGTGCCAGCAAACGAGCACAGAACGTTTACTAGTACCTGGCAACAAGCCCATCGTCCGACCTTGTTAGCATCGGCAGCTGTGTTGAGCAGTGTTATCTCTCGATCCATCGTATGACAAGTTTCGCGATGTCGCTGAGGTTGCGCCAGCACTCCTGAGACGTCCAGTATCATTGACCAGACTTCCCACAAGTGCGATACCTTGCACTACCCAGCCATTTAAGCAGTAAGCAGCTCGACGAGTGGGGAGAAGCCGTACTAGTACCTCACTATAAAGGGGCTCCGATAAGCTTTGCTCAACATATCGTTCCAACCATCGCTTCTAGAGGAGCCCGTTTCGCGGCACCTTCGAGTTGAAAATACCTCTCATACATTTAGACTAGCAGTTTCTGGTCAGGCGGTGTATAACTGGAATGGCCACTTTGGTTTCTTTTCCTATGTGGTCTATCGCCAAGCTGCTTGATCCTTCCGCAGCTCATGAGTTCCTCTCACTACTCCCGCACAGTTAAGCCTCAGCAGAGCATGAGTTAGGAGACCAATCGATGCACCGCAGGGCCACGTCGTGCGCTTTCGCAGCCGTGAGCCAGACCCGTGTTGCGTAGCTCCACTTGGATGCGACCTCTGGGCCGACCTGGAGCTGCAGCACCCGAATGTACTATAGACTAGCAGCTTCTATCTTCTTGGCTAGCAGGGTCTCGTTTTGGTCACCTGTAGTAAGTCAGCTCAGGTATTGCGCAGAAGATCAAGTAAGTCGACGTTGCGCCTCATAGGACAAAAGAGAAAAACGTCACGTTGGGTTTATTCAAAACACCACCTTCGCACTTTCTTACATTGGTCAGGCCCGCAGTGAGGAATGATGGTCACGTGGCATCCGCGGTTTAGCTGCAAAGCTATTTTGGCACTCCGATTCGCGTTTCTGCTATTAAGTTCGAATTCACAAAACGCACTTACTACGGTCTTTCGGTCCGATTAACTGTCGGTCCACGCACTTATGGGGACAGCCCTCTTGCTGAATGGAGCTTGAACCCGATGCACTGTTTCCTTTAGGCTCTGCCGCTCCTCGTCGGTGCTGGCCTTGACGTCAATATGCCACTGCCGAGCACCGCTGACCGCCGAGGATGAAACGTAGTTACCGATGCCGAAGCGCCTGCTTCGCGTTGGAGCTTGTGACGTGCACCACCACTGCGTGCTCACACCCCACATGGATTGGCGTTGGCGCTTCGAGTCTTTGTCATTGTGCAAACTGGCCGAATTCGAGCGCATGATCGGTCGACTCGGAACACCACAATAGGAAGCAATCCAACATTTACGGTACAACAAAGTACTTTCGGACAAAGCGCTGTTGACCAGAACTCGGAGTTCTCGAGGCGCATGACTGTTTTGTCGAACTGTGCGACTCTCCAACCACTCTCCTGCCGCGACCACCATCGTTCATGGGCTTAAACGTGACGTGCGTAGCCTCATGCTTGGCATGCAATCTAGATCAGGTCGTCGTCTCCTGCCACGAGACTTGTTGCGATGAACGCTAATCTGCGACTGCAGGCTTCAGCAACACTTCACCACGTTGCATGCCGTAGTGGCCCGAGTGCATCGCATTGTTAGGCTCGTACTTGAAATAGTGTTATGAATGGAAGCTAGCTTGAGGTCTTGCATGTCGGCGCGACAGCGCTTTAGGCAATTAGCGGCGCGATTCGCGCTTCTTGTCCTTCTGCTCCTTGTTGCGGAGAAGGATGACGACCAAGCGCACAAAGATGTTGACAAAGTCTACAAGCAACATGAGTACCCGTGCCATTGTCGGCGACCGTGTTACCGAGGAAGAGGTCGAGCGCATGAAGCACGAAGTCCATGTCGCCCATCGTCGCCTTCTCAATGATCATCTGCGTATCAAAGAGCACATACGCGCAAAAGACGAGGAGGCCCATGTACTAATCATGCGCAGAGAGGCCATGAGCAATTTCCCGAAAGTGAACAAGTTCGTCGTACCAAGTGGGCGTTGTACAAGGCAATCGAGCGCGAGAAGAGGTTGACGAGCGAGATGAGGGACATGACCATTGTCGCCGACGAGATGAACGACATGATGTACATGTACGATCGGCGCTTTTCTAGACACATGCACCGTGAGCCCCATCGTCCTCGCTAAAGAAGGAGTCGCGTACCGATCAAGGCGCTGCCGGTGAAGCAAAGAAAGATCACTGTCGTCGCCAAGCTATAGGAGAGATGCATGAGCCATTGCATACGGGCTCCGTGGCGCTGCCAGTACGTACCAGGCAGTGACGACAATCGCCGGGTCGACGTTGAGCGCAGTCGCGACGAGCGGGCCAATGTTGATGCCCGTGCAGGTCGCGATGGCCATGAGCATGCCCAAGCGCTTCATCACGAGGTGCTTCTCAACGAAGAAGAGGCCAAAGATGAACCCGACCGAGGCGCACACCGTTGTGATCCCCGCGAGGTCGTACGCCATGTCGAGGCCGACGCCGACGGCTGCGGCAAGGAGCGTCGCGGCGAGCGCCGTGTACACACGGACGAGATGCTGCTGGACAGGGACGCTGATGTCGTTGGCCTTGAAGAGCGCTTCCATGTTCCACGCGGAGCGGGTGAAGAAGCTGGAAGGGTCCATGCTGTGTTGGGAGGTCGAATCTGAAAATGGAAGAATGAAATACAATGCAAAAAATGCCACGTGGCTTTTGAGCGTGTTTTTATCTCTTCTGACATGGCATTTGTATGTGGATCGTATTAAAATACGTGAGTAATTGCGCACAAATTTCAGAATGATGGTAGCGATGCGCCGATTGGCTGAAATACCAACGCCCAATCAAAATGACACAATGCGATCCTGACTCCAGCAAATTCCCGAAGCTGCGACCTGTGACGATCTGCCTCAACAACTCCGCGGCCTTCACGTTGGAGCCCTTCCGGCAGGTGGTCGCCTTGTCGGAAATGGTTGCAACTGGTCGAATCGCTCACACGTGTCCTCCCCAGCCACCCAGGTATTGTTTCCGGCAAGCGCGCCGGTCTTGGCCATGCGGCCCAACTATAATAGCGCCAACGTGGTCCGCATCAACTGCCCTCGTCATGTTCCAACGTAGCGAAGATGTTGGCGCCCGGACAGCTCGCGTCGCCCCGCATGGCCCCCTTCACACCGGGATTGCGATCGACATGATCAGGCATCTACCTCGGCGACTTTTTCTCAAGTCATGAGCCACAACCCAATCCCAGATACATGTATGCTGCGGCATCGTGGGCACCACCGCACCACATCCGGACTCTGGTTTAGCCGCAACAGAGTCGTCTTTTCGTGTAGCTGGATTAGCCAGGGAGCACACATAGAAAAACGCTCATTTTCCAACTAGTGGGTGACGTCGAGCGCCAAAGCGCTCCTCGAGAGACGCAAGTGACCATGGAAAAAGGTCGCGACAGTTGGCGTGCCTGTCGCTCGAGTTTTGACATAGTCGCGCCGACTAGAAAATCGGGTACATCGATAATAGGCTTTCATTTTATCAAATGGTGCGACGCCAAGTGCCCAAGCGTTTTTTCGCGATGCACGTGGCCATGGGATGATGGTGGCTGTGGCCGTCGCCTCGTTGATAACGTTAATAGGACAGTGCTGAACATGGCGCGCGCCAAGCACCCACTCGACCATAGCGATCCTAGGATGATGTTGCCCATAGCCTATCTAGTACTAATACACGTGAGCTTCATATCCGGACTAGCTTGCAGTAAAAGGCTTCGCAACCTTGTTGACGAGCTCTGTTTTATCGCCAACTTGTCGGCAAATGTACGGCCATCAAATGTATTGAGCAAGCAAAGTAGAGGCACTTAGACAAGGCACTGACCAAGCACGAGGGCACCACCGGCAACGGCACTGGCAACCGCGTACGGGACCCAGTCGGATGCCACGGGCTCAAATCCCGTCGCGTTTTCAAGCTTGAGAACACCCAATCGAGCACCGAGGTAGTCGACGATGCACTCGACGCTCGGAGGCTCACAGCGGAGCCCCACGTATCCATCGGGGCGCAACAGGAAGACGCATTGGCCATCGACGCCAAAGCGCGCGTGGGCGACTGAGTTGGACGCCGGCACGACGATGCAGTCGTCGACAACGCCGTGGGTTGCACGGATGATCTGCGTGCCGAGCGTCGAGAGCTCTGTCGTCGTCATTGGCACCACGGTGGCGCCATCGTGGCCTTCAAAGAGCAGCGCAAGACACTGCGTGCTGGCGCTTGGACGGGTCTCAGACGGCAGAACATGCCACGGGCAGCGATCGCCCGCCTGAATGCGCGCGCCAAGGAGACGTCGAAAGTTTTGGCGCCGGCGCTTCGAGGCGTGTGGCACGAGCGACGGCTTGTCCCAGTGCTCGGCCGAGAGGGTACTTTTGCGGTACGCAATCGCAGTCTCGCCGAGAAACGCGGCGGCCTTGGACGCAAAGAGCGGGCGGGCAGCCATTGCCTGCAGCACGCCCTTTCGCAGCGCATGGAACCACGTGTTGCGGCTGCTGGCGAGGCCTTGGCCGCGCGTCGTCATGGCGACGAGAGCGTCACCGACAAGCCGGCGCTCCTCTCCGTATGTGCGCAAGAGGCTTTCGCTGCAAGTACCTCGCAGAACGAAACCGAGCTTCCAACCGAGGTTGACCGCGTCTTGAACCCCCGTGTTCATGCCTTGGCCGTAGAGCGGCGAGTGGCAGTGGCACGCGTCGCCAGCAAGAAAACACGCTCGCCGTCGTCGTACGTGGTCGCGAGGCGCTCGTTGATGCGAAAGTGCGACGCCCAGAGCACATGCTCAAACGAGACAGGGGCCATGTGCGCGCTCACGACCGCCTCCAGCTCCGAGTGCGTTAGCTCGCGCAGCAAGGGCAGGCCGTGGCGATCCGTCTCGGAGGCCGATCGGTACTTCGCGCCTTCGGCGTCGTCCATGTCGATGGCCGCGAGAAACGTGCCGTTGGGCATCGGTGTCACAAAGCTCGCACCGTTCTCCAACAGAAAAAACGTCAGCGCATCGCGGTCGGCCAAAGAATCGATGGGCGCGGTGGGGCGAAAATGCACCGCGAGGAATTGCCCCGGCATCACAATACCCTCGAAGCCGCACTGCATGAGCTTGCGCACGCTGGAGCGAGCGCCATCGGCGCCGACGAGATACTTGGCTTGAACGACGAGGTCGGTGCCGTCGGCAGTGGTCAGTGACGCGCTGATGGCAGTCGGCGTGCGGGTGTAGCTCTGTAGCGTCGTCGACCGATGGATCGCAACGTGCTTTTCAACGTACGAGGCAAGGCACTGCTCGGTATACCATTGCTCCGTGAGGAGCCCATACGTGTACGGCGAGTCCATGTGCGCGTCCAGCGGCACCGAGTTGATAACGCCGCCTCGGTCACGAAACGTCGTCCGACAGGCGCGGAGGCATCGCTCGTGCAGAGCGTCGACGACGCCGTCGTAGGCTTCGAGCAGCTCGAGCGACCGCGGCCAGAGCACCGAGGCTTTTGTTTGCATCACAAGCGCCGGTGCACGATCGATGATTGCAACGTTGGTGACGCCGTGCCGCACCAGCTCAGCAGCAAGCGTCAGGCCAGTTGGGCCAGCGCCAACGATGAGGACGTCGACGCGAGATGGGATAGTAGACGATGGCATGGTCAAGAGAATGGAGTGGAAGCGTGCGCTGGACGTGGGGAAAAGCAATGTGGTCGATCCGGCCGATCTTGCGGATCTATCCGGATAAAATGTCGTATGCGGAGGATTCGGACATTTCGGTAAAACGTGTCGATTGTGATTTTTGCAAATGCCATCATCACACGACAGCACCGTCGACAGATATCCGCACGCGTGAATGACATTATCATGGATGGCATGACTCAGTTCAACAACATTATCATGGATGGAATATATGACGTCGTCCAAGGAAGAAGATGGGCGAAGGCCGACCGCTTGAAGGCAGAAAAACTCCCAGCACGAGCTTGGTAAACTCAGCGCTGTGTGCGTACCGGTACGAACGCAACCCTTAGCGTGTCGAGGCCCCTTATGTGAGACGTTGTAGAGGACAGGGACTTCTCCTAGACTTGGCGAAATATAAAACAGGTCCACTCAACTTAGCGCTGCGTGTAGAGTGATGCTGCTACGCGTTCAAATTCTAGCTGTTTACAAAAGGACCAGAGTGTGCGCTTGGCGCCGTGCGAGCTAAATATTGTCTTTCCCATGTCATCGGTACATAGTCAGAGTACGACCAGAGGTTGCCTGTATGTAAATGAACTCAATACAAGACGACAGCATCAGCAGTGCCCTCTTCCCCTTGTTTGCTGTGAAGGCATTCACACATCTATGGCTTTGCTGGAGCTTTACGTTTTGTTTGGAGTTTGCACCTCGGCGGACGGCACCACAAGGCAAGACGAGCATCGAAAGTAAAGGTGTGCGGTGAGCTCGTTGCCTTGCTCGAGGATAATAATGCAAATATGCTTGGTGAGAGACTGAGATTGGACGCCGACTGAGTTTAAAATATCCCACTCTACACGAATCGAGCTGACGCTAAGACCGCCATCCTGCGAAATGTTCAACGCCGTGGTCCTCCAGCAAGCCTTAACGCATTGTATTTGCTCGGCCGTGCTGGACGTTTTGGCCTCTTTGTGATCCGATTCGTGCTCCCTGGTCCGGGACTAAGCTCGGATCGCTACATTGTCCAGTGTGTTGATTGCGCTGAAAAGTTTAATTCCACAATGTACACATTTTATTCATGTAACCAACTACTTGCCCCAGTAGTTGTGCTGTTCATACAAAACAGTTTACGCTTCATCGCGCTTGGGCGTCTCGATGTCGACGCTCTTCTGGGTACAGACCGGCGCGCCGTTGCCGAAGAGGAGCTCAATGTCTTCGAGAAGGAGGCCCTTGGTCTCGGGGCACTTGAACCAGACGTAGACTCCGGCGAGCGCGCAGAGCGCCGTGAAGAGGAAGAAGACGCCGTTGATGTTGAGGTACGGGAAGAGTTTGGGGATGCCAATCATGAGCGAACCCATGCACCAGTTGGTCATCGTCGACGCCGACACCGCCTTGGCGCGCACGTTCATGGGGAAGATCTCGGCCGGGTAGATCCAGCACACGGGACCCCACGAAATGGCAAAGTTGAAGATGAAGAAGGCCGTAAACACAATCATCGTCCAGCCCGCGCCCGTCGAGCAGTCCGACTTGCTCGTGTCGCCCTTGCAACCCGCCGTGAACGAGATGGCAGAGACCAAGTGACCGATAACCATGCCAGCAGCGCCGACGAGGAGGAGCTTGCGGCGACCGACCTTGTCGACCCAATACATGGCTGGGATCGTCGAGAGGAAGTTGACGATCTGGAAGATGAGGAGCGACACGATACCGTCGCCGACAACATCCTTGAAAATCTGACCGCCGTACGTGAAGATCGGGTTAATGCCGGTGGCTTGCTGGAGGAGCTGGAGCGAGCAAGCGATGAGGAGGCGAGGGCGGATGGACGGGTGCCAAAGGTCAGCCCACGTCGACGTGTTGTCGCCTTCTTCTTCAATGGCGTCACCGATGGCCTGGAGCTCGGCACCGACGTTCTCGGTACGACGAAGTCGCTTGAGGGCAGTCTCGGCTTGGGCGCGGCCCTTGGCTTTGTACATCCAGCGCGGCGACTCGGGCACACAAAAGATACCGGCCATGACGACGACCGGGAAAGCCATCGCAACGGCGTTCGTGACGCGCCAACCGTGCTCATCGTACTGGACGACATAGTTGATGATACCGGCGAGGAGGAGACCGGTGACGATCGACATTTGCATGAAGCCAGAAAGCATACCACGGAGCTCCTTCGGTGCCATCTCGGCACCAAAAATGGGCAGCGAGAAGGACGAGTTGCCAACGCCAAAGCCTTGGATAATGCGCGCGATCAAGGCGAGCGTGTGGCCCATCTTGTTGGTGAGGACGAGCATGAGCGTGCCGACGCAGAAGAGGACACCAGCGGAGAAGATGGTCGCACGACGGCCGTACTTGTCGGCGATGTAGCCGCCAAGGTACGCACCGACGATGCAGCCCATGTAGTAGAGCACGTTGAAGAGCGTCGTGAACGTCGACCAGTTGTCCGGGAGGTCGGACGACGAGGCGCGACACTGCGCGCCCGTGTTGCCATCGTAGCCGATGCAAAAGTCGTTGAGGAACGAGTCCATGACCAGGACACCGCCTGTGACGCCTTGATCGTAGCCGAAGAAGATACCGCCGAGGGACGCAAAGACGCAGACGACGATCGCGTACGAGCGGGAGCCTTCCGTGGGCGTGTCGTCGGCGCCGCCGCCAGGGAGGATCGCAATACCGCCAGCCATGGTCCTTTGGTTGGAGGTGGCAAAAGAAGAAGTGAATGTCCTAAAGATCTAACGAGGTGGCGCAGAGGCCAGACAGGTCATGTGGCGCCACTCTACCGGCTGGGCAACCAAAGGCATGGTCCCGAAGCAGTGACTCGCGTGATGTTGAAGAAGAAAGTACATACCGGTACCTTGAAGCCTGCCATGCGTGTTGAAGTTGGCCTTCTGTGTTGAAGTTGGTCATATGGGTGCGTCCTCGGCAAAGGATTTAGACAACTTTTTTGTATCCACCAAACCATCCAGTACTGAAATACTAGCACCACGTGATATAGGTCGCAACCTGGGCGGCAGAGTCGCGTTTGATTGGCCAGCGAACGATGTTATAGGACTCTAGTTCACGTATTACCGATAGTCATGTCTTGAAAGTGGCTACACGTGGAACCGTTTCACACCGACACGTTGGCAATAGAATCGTACACCGTAAATTCAGTGCGGCTTTCGCCTCGTTGGTTTCTCTTTTGTGGGCCATAACATCGTTTTGGGACACTAGTTTTTTGAGTTTTTTGGCACCTCGCACTGCATCGTATACCTGGTGGTAAAGCAATGCATGGAGAGAACCTACTGTACTCGTGTCTTCGCACTGGATCTCTGGTACCTCGCATGACATCAGTTGTGTGTCCTGCATGCAAGCTCGCAAGATAGGCACGAAGAAAAACTCCATCCGACGTCCTACAGTGTATTTCCTGCTGTGCATTTCAGGAGTCGCGCTTGTTCCCAGCAAAGGATGGGTGTGGTGAGGCAGGTCGAGACTTAGCAGGCCGAAGCCAAATCGAAACTACGTTGAGGTTTGGCTGGCCTGTGCCGGCTCCTCTTAAAGTTACGTCTGCACAGCGTCCAACGTCAAAACGGGCAGCGACAACGGCTTTCCTCCGCCGCATCACGATCGAGCCGAGCACTTAAGCCCTGAGTAGACTGGGGAGTTGTCGAAGGAATGATCTAGCTCTGGTAGGGTTACGTCCACGACAATGTGTTTGGGCGAGATTTTACAATCAACTGGGATCCGATGACTGGGCCCAAAGACCTCATTCGGTCCCCTAACACTGACCAGGGCATATACGGTCCGGTAACGTGCACAACCTACATCGTCAATGTTAGCCTCGAGTGGGGCAAGAAACCATACCGCAGATAGCATGCCTAGTGATATTTATGCTTTAGCAGAGTCGATGGACATTGCCAGCGAATGTTGTCTTGAGCCTCCATTGTTCGAGTCTAACGACCTCTCTTCCTTTGATAATGGCGTGACTCATTCCAGCCTCCGGATAGACTACGTGGCAGCTCGTGGGCAGTTTTGGGACTCTGACGCATTCAGGGCATCGATAGCATACATACGCACATCTGAAGGTTGAACTCAAGTGCCATTACTAGTATACTAGTATACCAACCTGTCAGATGCAGTGGAAGCGAAATGTCGGTTCTCACCTTGAACGACTCCTGGGCTGTCTTGTTGTTCTGGCAAAAGCCCATCACGTTATGCCCACTTCATGGTACAGCACGCCAGGATGACCTGTAGCCCTGGCATGAACAGCCACAGAGCTCGACCAGCAAGGCAACAGGATTCGCAGCAGACTGGGCGGGGCGAGCCAAGGACGTCGTGAAGTCCTCTTGCGTTAAAGAGTCAAATCTTACCTCTGTAGAACTCTACCATGTCCCTCCTTTGGGGACGAGTGCTCCTTCCGCTAGCCTACACAGTATAATATAGAAGGAGGCTATGAACGACCCGTTCGCAACGCATCAAGGCTGAACCGCTAAACCGACGGGACGATTGCGTGCCACCGCAACCGGTACCGGATACGAGAATGGTTGTTTCATTATCCGGACCGCTGACACGTGAAAGACCCGCCACCATGCCGGTCGGCGTCGTCATGCAGTGGACGGCCGAAGGTAGACGCCATGCGCATGCAGCCACTCCTCATGTCTACCTCTAGTCTCTCTCGAGGACATGGAGAAGACAAGCATCATCGTCGACGACGACGAGTACATCTTTGACGGCTTCTTCCTCCTCGGCGCCGACGCCATGCCACCCGTACGCGCCGGCTCGTCATGGCGCTTCTACGTCTCATGCGCATGAAGTAGATGGAGTATGTGCGCAGTGGCGTCAAGTGCACGCTGGCGCTCGTGCCGCAGGAGCTGCCACCGCACCAGTACGAGCACGACGCGATGCTCTCGTTCGAGCAGTTTGTGCTCTGGCAGCTGCTTCGCATCCCCATCTCGGAGCTCCCGGGCTTTCAAGGCGACCGTGGCATGCACCTCTACCCGCGCTTTGTCTCTCGGAAGGACCAGACGCCCGAAACCCTGCGCCAGGTACGACGTCTCCTCAACGGATGCGTCAAGCGGCTTAGGTGACGGCGTCGCATCGCCTTGGCTTTGGCATTGGAGCGCTCTTGCCACTCCCTGCGCTCTTGAACCATGTGCAAGAGTCGTCGTCGACGACGGCCCATGCGTTCATGCGAACGCACTCGGAGGCGCGGCTTCGGTACCACGTCGTGTCGACACGCTCGAAACAAGGTTGTCCTTATCTCTACCGCCCCCCGTGCTCGCTCATGCAGCGCCGCAGACTACTTTCGCATCGACAGCGCCAATGCCTTCTTGGTACAAACTGTCACCGCATCATCATCAGGGACCGTCTCTGTACATGCGTACGATTCCTTCGATAGGGCCAAGTCTACCATGAAGGGCGGGGGCGCCAGCCCACGACGGCGTCGCCGACCTGCGCCAGTTCAATGTCCACCAGCGCTTGGGGGCCATCCGTTGTATAGCCACGCCGGTGGAAAAGTGCAGCTTTGGCCAGCGCGCGTCCGAGTGCTACCTCTCGGGTCTCAAGGCCGACGTCATCGAAGTACCAAGTCCATGGCATATACACGGCTATCTCCTGTGCGTAGATTGCGACGGCGCTGCCGCTTTTGACGAGAACGCTGGCCCACAGGCGACAATTGCAATCGTTGCAAGCCACGTGGGGCCTCTCGTTTCAGACCCCGGCGCTCTGCCACGAAGCGTTTCTGCATGTCTCGTATATCGAGTGCGGCATTCCGTCGGCCAACTGCGCCCCCGCCATCCATGCGCGCGTGCGACTGGGCCTGCCGCTTTCTCGCCCGTCGCTGTCGTCGACCAAGAAGCGGAAAACACCGGTACCACCGAACCCAGTGACGACGAACGCTCATGCGGTGTACAGATGTCGGAGCTCGAGTCGATTGTGGACGCGCACGACGATCGAGACTTTCAACGCATGGACCCACCGCCGTATCTGCGGTCGTATGGCCGCCTCGAGTTTCTCGGCGATGCAGCGCTGAGCCTCGTGGCCGCGTGCGCCACCTTTCTTCGGGTAGCCGCCGATGACAATATCGTCCCCGCTTTCATGCATGGATACTAGCTGCGTGCGGCCCCCGAGGGACAGCTCACGACGATGCGCGCTAGCATTGTGAGCAACGACACCATCGGCGAGATGGCCATGAAATTGGGGCTCCAGCATCTCGTCCTCAGCGCCTACGATGTGACGACGGCGCCCGTGTGCGACAGGACGCCCTCCGTCCATGAAGGCTCACCGACGTGTAGGAAACTGGTGCAAAAGATCGCCGCCGACTGCTTGGAAGCGCTTCTCGGCGCGCTTCTCGTCGACCTCGTAAGTCGCGCATCGGCGAGCGATGCTGAAAAGATCCTCGTAGGGACTCGACGAGGGCATGGTGGCCGTCCGCGCCCTCTTTTCTGGCATGGTCAAGGCGTACGACCCCGAGCTCCACGAGCTTCTCTTCCTCTCGGAGGACGCGCTGCGGGCGGAGGCGCAAATCTACTTGGACGAAGACGCGGCGGCGTTTCAAGCGCACCCGCAAGCGGCTTGGCTCCTTTCGCAAAAAACAAAGTTTGAGGCCGCGCATGCCACCGTGCCTCGCCTCCATCGCCCGCACGTCTGGGTCCGCGCGCTCACGCACAAGTCGTTTTGGAGCCCGAGCATCGACCACGACGCGTCGTACGTCCCCAGTGGTCCTGGCAACTACGAGCGGCTCGAGTTTCTCGGCGACGCCGTGCTCGACATCGTCGTCTCGTACCATCTGTGGAGCGCGTTTCCGCACCAGCATGTATTAGCGCGATCGGTGCGCTGGGACTCGACCACTCTATGGATCTAGGAAAACCTCTTGTCCAAAGTCCGGTCGGCGCTCGTCAATAACGCACGACTCGGTCACATTGGCGCGGCCCATGGCTTTGAGGATGTGATTCGCCTTGGCACTACCGTGGTCGCCAACGGCCTCCGCCTCCCAGCGGTCATTGCGGACGCGTTCGAAGCGCTCCTCGCAGCCTCGTTCCTCGAAAACGTGCGTGCTTTCGCTGTCATGGTGCTGATTGTTCCTGCGACTAGTGGTCCCTTCTGCCAGTCGCGTCCTTCTTGCAAGACGCTCTCTTCCCGCTCCTGCCCGAGGTGAGTCGCCCTGCGCTGGATTGGTGTTTGGCATTAAAGTAGGTCGTGCGGCATCGCGAGTGGCTCTCGCCGCGCCAGCGTCTCGTCACATACCTCCGCAAAGTGCATCCGACCGCCGACGTGATCTTCCAAACCACGACGCCCACGGACAAATCGACGCAACACGCTATCGCACTCGTCCTTGACGGCTTCCTCGTGTGTCGGGCCAGCGCATCCACCAAGGATCTCGCGACCGAGAGAGCCGCGACAAAGGCTATGCAACTGCTCGGGTTTCCATAACCAACTTTCCACACGACGCCTTTTCCTATTGATCGTCGGTCACCAGCCGTGCAAATGGAAACGGAGGATCCTGTAGCAACTCTCGTCCCAGCAGCCACTTGCTTAACGTTGGTAGAGTTGTTTTAGTGTGACGCATCGAGCGCACATGGTCCGGAAGGACGGCCCCCTCTGTTGATCGACTTGGAGCGATTCCCTTGCTCAGAACTTAGCGACACCCTGGAAGCCCAGTTTGGAAGGGGACCAATAATGAGATTGTCGGGCGGGTGTCAATTACAGAAGAGGACAACGTCCGAGAGCTCCTCGCGGGACGTCCGAATGCATCTCCAGCGTCCTACGCTCCACGAAGACAGGACATCAAGCGTGCTCCAACACTGCTCAAAACGCCACGACAAAGCGACGCACACGCAAATCGGGTTTTCATTCCTCCACCTAGCAACTACTAGTAGGTCGTCGTCGTACATACTCATGTCTATCGCGCTGTTGCTCTTTATGGGGTCTTGGGCAGCACACGGCTCTTCTCGATGAAGCGAATGCCTTCGGCTTCGAGGCGCGCGAGGCCTGGCGTGTAAATGTCGGGCGTCGTCGGCGTCAAGACACCGTGGCCCTGGACGTCGCCGCGCAGAATCAAGTCGACGCCGATCGCAGCGCTCATGCCGACGGTCTTGGCCATGACTGTGCTCTCGTCGTCGCCGTAGCCCACGTACGTCGACGTGATGAGTTCGCGGCGGTCGGCAAAGTCCACCTGGAACTCGTGGTGCATGATGGCCATGTCGCGCTCGCCCGGGAGGTACGAGAGCTTCTTGATCAAAAGCGCGCAGAACGCGTCGATCGTCGAGGTGGCCGACGGGTCGATGAGCGCACTGCCGTCGTCAAGGCCAAGCCACGTGAGGAAGGCCTCGGCGTCCGGCGTCAAGCGGCTGCTCATGCCGGCCTTGAGGTGCGCAATGAGCTCGGGCCACGTCGCAGGCAGCGCCGTCTCGTTCGTGTTGAGAAGACCGAGGAGGCGGCACTGGTGCATGATCGCGCAGTTGCCAGCGTACCGGAGCGTGCCGCGGAAGATCGAGTCGGCGTCCGGGATGTTGTACACCTGCGCGTACGGCAGCGAGTTGCGGTTCGGGATCTGCTCGAGCGCAAACGCGGGCAGAAAGTTGACCCGCTCCGCGCTCGTCAAGAGCGCTTCCCTAAACATGGTCACGTCGTCAATGTCGACGAGAGGCTCGTAAAGGATGCGTACCCTGGGATCTGGACCACTTGGCCGTTCTTGAGGTACTGGGCCGAGTTGAGAGCAGCCGTGAGCACGCCGCGCGGCGACCACGAAAACTTGTACGCAATCGGGTTGTCGGCCGCCTCGGGCGCGGGGAGACCGCCGCAGACCGACGAGAACGACACGACGCGGCCGTTCTGCGCCTGGACTTCGTCAATGATCTTCATCGCACTCATGTGGTCCATGCCCGGATCCAAGCCGAGTTCGCAGAGGATCGGGATGCGCTGGGCGACCGCCATGTCGTTCAGTGCTTGCATCTCGGGCGAGATGTAGCTCGCGGTCACGAGCGGCACCTTGGACGAGAGACACGCCTTCGCAATGTCCACGTGCATCGGCGCCGGCAAGAGCGACACGACGCAGTCCGCCGACGCCACCAAGGACGCCACCGCGTCCTTTTGCGTGCCGACGTTGATCGTCGCCGGCGTCACGCTGCGGTGCTTGTACTTGGCCGCCATCGCATCGGCTTCGCCCTGGAGGCCCGAGACCACGGTCAGCGAGTGGTTGGCGTCGCGCGTGAGGTACTCGACAAGCGGCGACGCGACGAGGCCCGCGCCAAGACACACGATCTGCTTGCGCTCCTTGGCCGCCGACACCGACACGCTGCCCTGGAACGTCATGCCCGCGCCTTCCTTGGTCGACTCGGCGCGCTGCGAGAGCGTCTGGTCGTACGTGCCCATGCAGTAATCCGGCAGTTCCTTGATCGTCGCGGCAGCACCTGGCGTCAAGCTCGAGAGCGCCGAAATCTTCTCGAGGATCGCATCCAACTCGGCCTACAGTCGTTGGCTACAGGTGTCAACAGTGAAAAA